ACTTAAAGCAGATTATTGATACAAATTAAATTAAAATACTCATTCTTGATTACCAACAATTTTGCTAATTTAATTCTCATTAGTTAAAGATGAACCATTGGATAAATCACACCTGTAAATGGAGTACATACAGCACTTCCGCTTGTATGTAGTTATTTGAACTAGAAGTAGACCAAGTATTTTCTACAGTTTTTTCTCGTCATGACGACAAATTAAACACCTAAAGAATGACAAAGCTGCAGTTGAATCTAAAAAAAACTCACCACGACCCATACTAGCCCTTTGCATCTATGTACTAAGTGTGCTAACTATAAAAAGACACATTCAGAACATGTCTTGTTACTTATAAAAGGAAGATGTATTTCTGTCCATCCTCTAGGACTCTGACCCATATTACACTGTGACTCATTTACCTCTCAGGCCTCCCTATATACAGAACTGGAGGATATGCCTTCAGGGCTGAGATGTTCATTTTAAAGCCCTGCATTCATTTATAATCTCTTCCATATCTGTCTCAGTCTCTCCATTAGCCCTAGAGGAATAGAGTAGCATAAAGTGGCTTTGATAAACTCTTCTCCATACTGACGAGGCGGGATCAAGTCGATGAAAGGGGCTCAGACAGATAGATGGAGAGGGACTCACCAAAAGATTTCTGCAGTGTCAAAAAGTTATGTATACTGCTGACTCACCAGGTGCGTCTTTGGCTTAGTGTGTAAGGAAGTCAAACAGTTGTACGGCTTATTAAATCAGTCTGACAAGCTGCACTGTACGTTAATCTTAAGATTTTAAGTAATAAATGTAACAATTGTAATGCAATCAATTATTTCTAACAGATACAATGTTGTCAATACTGAACCAATAATTATTAAACCTTTATGGTGGCACAAGCCTTTATATTTTCATGACTTGCATACAGTTTCTTTACAGTTGGCCTATTGGCAGCGTCTCATGTCCTTTCTACAGAAATAGCTCGTCTGTCCATGGATATCTCTGGCAGCCGCTCACTGCAGCTGAAATTCTTTCCCTGACCCCGTTTAGAAAGCTCTCATGGTTCCAACATGTACACTGACAGAGCCCTGCAGATTAAAGGACTAATAATTACTGAACATACATGTTGACAATAGTTGCCACCATATATCCAGAGCTAGGGCGCAACGTTTGATAAGCAGTGCTCCTTTCACACAACACTTGTATCAGACACTTACCATTGTTTTGCCATTTAACACAGAATTTTAAGTGGAAGGAAAATGTAATTAAAATGTGACTGCATATTTACCACACCTCTGTATGATAAGGAATGACAAGATGAATTCCTGCAGCAGGCCTGTGTTATAACGGTAAGGCTTGAAAGATTCAGGAAATCTATATTTTCTCTATAAGAACCACTTATATTACAGATTTATCCATCAACTAGTTCCTCAATCAACCCGACAGCAGTCTCTAAAATATCATAAAGTAATGCGAAATGTATTGCACACTTTAAATGTTGACATCTAAAAATGGCTTATTTTGTCCCATATCAGTCCAAAAGCCTAATATATGTATCCACCACAGAAAACAAACAAAAAACAGCTAAACTTAACATTAATCTATTTTGAAAAACAGCTGCTGTTTGCGCTGTTTAACAACTTTCAATTGCTGCCTAATTGTTTCATCTTTATCCCATATAATGTACTTTCACTGGGATTTGGATGACTGAATGTTATGCTGAGAGATACTTAGCTTCAGACATTTCTAAGATGGTCAACTTTTAAGTAAATGCATATAATGTGCTATTTCTGTTAGATACAAGAGCACAATACTATTGCTACATAGATAGTTACAAACCATCAGGCCCTCAGCCAGGCACATAAACCAAATGTCTGAACCTGTGATTCCTCTCGTTCTGTGCAGGATTACTTTTGCAACCACACATCATCAGAATGGTAAAACTAACCTGTCTCATGACAGCCTTGAACTGATGAATCAAGACTTGAGACTTGGACTACACTCAGACTTAAATAACAAAAATAAACACTTTAAACTTAAATGTGATTTGACCACTTTAAAATTTGACTTAATTAAACGTCCCTACTAATCTGAATTGATTTTAGTTTTGAACTCAAAAACAGTCAGAAGTTTTGACCTCTTAAAGTCCTACAAAGTTGGGAATATTCAATTATTAGGCCTTATCATTGAAATTCCTGCTTTTAATCTTTTAAAGACACAACAAACAAAAAAATATATAATGGTTTTGGTCAGCATTGAGACACCTAAGTGACTTGTAGGCTATCTTGTAATTACCCCTCAAAGAACACTTGGGACTTGACTTGAACAGCGTCAAGGAGAACACTTTGTAAATCCTGACCTCCTTTTAGGATGAACATCTACTTTATGGGCATATTAGGGCAGTACCTGCTCTATAAAAAAACAAATCTTTAGTTAGTCTTTTTTCCTACTGATGAGCCACTTCACACCAGATACCAAAGTGCCATGTTGAATATTTGAAAGAGGTCTGCTTGGATGCCTCCAGCACTTCTGATGTTAGGAAGAGTCAAGTTACATTTAGAGAAAATCTTTTTTTTTACATTTTTCAAAATAAACCATCTCAGTATTTCTGGACCTCCCATCCTCTTACCGACGGCTGCTGGTCTTGCAAGCGGAGTACGATTGCTGGCTAACAGACGACTTGGTGCTCAGGTGAAAGCTGCTCTCAAAGTGATGCTGCTGATGTTCCTGCTGATGCTGCTGCAGCTTCTGCGTCACCGTTACTGATCCTGACATCTTGAGGGCCACTCCACCAACTTATATGTTGACTGTTCTTTACTTAACCAGCTCTGGAAATCAATCTCATTGTTATCATTACAGATTGACTTAATTATTAATTCATTAATGTTGAGGTTAGTTTAGGCCAGGAGAAAGGGATTAAGTATGAAAGGTTGTTAAATTGTTAAAATGATGTTATGATGTTTGGTTTTTGAGCAGTTAAAGTGTTGGTTAAGATCAACTGTTTCTGTGTTAAATGAAGCAACAGCAGGTAGCAAACAAGCTGTGGCAGCATTCCTTAACTCCTTTTTGGGTAGAAATACCATTACAATTCAAATGACTACTTTCACAGGTGTGAATATAAAAAGTGACAAACTTGGGTTAAAGGAGAAGGTAGAATCAAAACTGCTGTGTTCTGTTATTTCTTAATGTAAGGCTTATAGTCAATACAAGTCCATATACATATCAGTATTATATAACACTCTTTTATGTACTGTGGTTGATTATGTTGTTAATCAATCATGTTATCATTTGGTTTATAGAAAACAATGCACTTCAATATTTCCTAAAGCCTTTTTGTATTGGTCAATAATAAATAAAATGCTCAAAGGAAGCAAATATTCACATCGTTTGGCATTTTTGCTTAAAAATGTAGTGGAATAAATGATCAGTTTATCAAGAATGTTGCCAAAAAAAAATCTGTGAAGTCAACAATCAATCAAATGACAAATCATTTCAGCTCTAGTAACCACTGTTGAAGTGTTACAGCTTGAAAACATGATGATCAGCTCCCACAGGGCCCATCATCATGTAACCAGAGATCAGAGAGGAGAGATCTGCAATTTATGACAAGAGACTCCACAAACTTGTATAGCTATGTCCAACACCTACAACAGGCAGTGTGTAGGCAAAGAGTGAATCCATTTGTGAAGAGAAACAAACAGTACACTGGACTAAAAGCATGAGGGCAATGAGTTTGCAAAGATAAATCCTGGGTTATAAAAACGTTAAAGGTTAAGCAAATGTTAATGGGAAAGATTAACTTTACTTTTAAGATGACATTTGACTTCAATGAGACATGCAATATTCTGCAAGGACACAATAGATACAGATTAACAATATACTGTTATTATAAAGGCATGGATAAAATGAATAATACATCAATAAACAAAAAACATTACTAAAGTTGTTAAAGGAGGCCTCAAGCCTTACTGCTTCCAAAATGACAGATGACATAAACTGAAATAGCAATTATGCAGTATTAAAGACAGTCTTATTCATAAAGAAATACATATGTCACTCACCACAACTAAGGATTCACCAATCCACAAAAGTTGAAAATCAGATAAAAGGTGTGCTAATTCCAAAAGTAGCTAAAGCAAGTCCAGATCCTGGGAAAGCAGCAGGGTGAGGGGCGGTGGACAGGACGGCAGTCCACTGAACAAAAATAATGCTGCCACTTGGCAGAATGTGCAAGACGCCGTCAGGACCTTTTAAGGCTGGGACAGCTTTAAATTTAGACCATGAGGCCATGAGAAGGCCGAGCCCAGGCTCCTCAGCTCGCCTGGCCCTCCGCGGTGTCCAAGCTTCAGGGAAACGTGGGAACCAGAGACTGTGTTGTGGGAACTCCTAGTGAGAAATATAAGGCCTTGTAAATGAGTAAATAGGTGAAAAGCTGCAGTTCACGTTTGACTGTTACCTTGAATGAATGTTGAATAGGTTTCATAATCTGTTGCAACGCATTTTTCTGAAACGTTTAGAGACAAGGGGCGAAGTCACTAACGCATGTTTCCCTCTCTAAATTAAAACCCTTGTTGTATTCACCGGCCATAATGGCTGGTCTGCACCAACATGTCACCTCAAAGCGCTTTAAATGTATCTATTTCCCTAAATGAACAGTTACATTTCCGAAGCTGCTCGTTTAGGACCAATATGCATTTCCTCTGGTGCAAAATCACATAATAGCCGACGTCTCTGCACCACAATTCAATTATTGAGACGTAAAAAAGCTGCAAAATAAACGTTGGAATGTATATTTGTAACTGCTGCCATCTAGTGGTGGGACATGTACACTGCAGTATTGTTCGTTTAGACACATTTAATGACATTATCGAAATACGAGCTTAAATTAAACAATCCAAAAAAGAATTCAGTATGACCACTCGTCAATATTTAAATATCTAAATGGAAAAACATGATTTAACAAACTGAAATGGGAACAACATGGTATCTTCCGGTCAGTTGGCTCCGTCCAGCTCGGCTCTGATTGGTCAGTTGGGGAGACAGGAAATAAAACATTGATGGTTGCTCTTTATTATTCTGTGGAGGATCTGCTAGCCCTCTCTATACACATTTGGCAATAACGCCTGCATTTTCTGAGGTGGGTGATTTAAGTTACCCTCTGAATCTTGTGCACATTAAGGCCACATTAAGTCGATATTGTTGTGCTGTGAATGGATTTCGGTTAGCTCGTGATAGTCTGGTCCGTTACGTTATTGAGGTCAACATTGGGCTAGCTATTAGATTATAAATGTAATGTTTAGCTAACATTACATCGGATTTCGGAAGTACGTTAGGCAGCAAAAATGTATTGTTATAAATAAAACATTGGAAATTGCTTTCGCAAATCGATACATTTTTGTTGTTGGCTAATGTGTGATATGCTTACGGTTTATCATCAGACATTGCGGTTCTCTTGCCGAGTTAGATTTAGTCCTAGCAGATAATAATCAGAATTATATGAAACTTAAATGAGAATACCAACTAACATGTTATTAATATGTAGTAAAAGGTCCAATACAAGGGTCCACATCTTTAAACGGGGCCATGTGTTGCCTTATTTTAATAATCGGTATTTATAATCTGTCAGACAAGCGCTTTCTTTTGGTCAAACCTGTAAAAGTGCATTCACAATGTATACCTTTTTAGCTGTCGACTAATACAACCAAAAGACCTTCCACGTCAGTTTATCAGAGGACACATAACAGAGAGTCTCTCTACCCTTTACATGCGTAACTAATCAAAGATAACCCACACTACGACATATAAAGGTACACACACATCAACATGCGCTTAGACTACATACTGAGGCACTATATTATGTATTAGTTATTCTTAAAACAGAGATCATACAATATAACTGTAATAGGATTACACTAACTGTATTGACAACGAGGTAAAACAGTGGATTTGAACCAAAATTAATTGATGATTTTGATGAAATAAACCTTTCCTGGATCAATATTAATGCAATTTACCAAGGCAAATGCATAAGCGAGAATGAGATGGAATTCAAATATTGTTGTAACTTTAATTTTTTTAGACAAATTTCACAATAGTGATGTACATGTCAGATCCAATTCAAGCTCTAGTTTACATCCTTCATTTGATCTGTATTACAGGAAGGGGAAACTAACCAACTGCCATCATGTCGAGCAAAAGGGCCAAGGGAAAGAACACCAAGAAGCGTCCTCAGCGCGCCACCTCCAATGTGTTCGCCATGTTTGACCAGTCTCAAATTCAGGAGTTCAAGGAGGCCTTCAACATGATCGACCAGAACCGGGATGGATTCATTGACAAAGAAGACCTTCATGACATGCTGGCCTCATTAGGTAAACGTAACAATGTTGTTCGGAAAATATCACTTGTCACCGGCTTGAGTTTCAATAATCAGGATACATGTATTTATTATCCTTGCAAGAATGGAAGTAGTCATCACATACAGAGCATTTGAGACAACTCGTTCCCAGAACAGTGTCCTTCACATGCTTATATACAAGAGAGGGAGTATCACAGTCACAATATGCAGGAATACCAGTTTAAAGCGGTATTCAATGTTTAGTTTAGATCAGCTAAGACCCAGAAATGATCATGCTTGTCATATGTCTATCTCCATAGAGGCTATGTTAACACCTCAGACTTTCAGAATGGGTGCTGGGTGTGATGTATAATACATTGTCTTTCATCTTATTGTGCCGCAGGTAAGAACCCCACAGATGAGTACCTGGAGGAGATGATGAACGAAGCGCCGGGCCCCATCAACTTCACCATGTTTCTGACCATGTTCGGGGAGAAGCTGAACGGCACAGATCCTGAGGATGTGATCCGTAACGCTTTCGCCTGCTTTGACGAAGAGGCCACTGGTGAGCTTTTCTATACATGTTCATTGTTCTTTCCCAAAATCAAAACAGTAGAAAAATAGCAATACTTTTTCTATATCCTCAATTCACAAATAGATTTGGATTAGAGCTGCTATTAGCTATTTTCATTATCTTGTAATTCTTATTTAGTAGTATAATTACTTTACATACCGACCTTTTGGTTTGGTCCACACATCCCAAAACATTTGGACAAATAAATGTTTGAATGATATGATTTGCTTTTTTGATTACTTGCACAGATGCATAGATACTGTAGGTGCCGTTGGAGAGGTAACTGCTGGTTCAAAAATAGACGATTTTTAAAGGAATATTTGTATTCCCGTTTAATTTTAACATTTGATATTAACATCCATTTGTTAATAAATGTTTAATTTGACAAATCTGCATCAGGGAAAGGGTTTGTGACAACAATAAGACATTACATTTGAGCATTTTATAGTAATCTATCCATTTATTCTAAGCATTTTAAGGCACATTTATGACTATTTACAATATGTATTATTGCTATTACACTGAGGTTTTATTATTCTAGCTCCATAAATTGAATTGGTGATTGTCATAGAGTAAATATGTTTGGTATGTATTCCTTTATATAACACCTGGTGAATGATGATTGAAAATGCTCATGACTTCAAAGAACATGACTCTTTCTATTTGTATTTGTTGATTAATTTTTTTGTAAATCCACTAACAGATGGATCGACTTCTCCCTCAGGTATAATCCAAGAGGACAACCTGCGGGAGCTGCTCACCACCATGGGAGACAGGTTTACGGATGAAGACGTGGACGAGCTCTTCCGAGAGGCGCCCATTGACAAGAAAGGCAACTTCAACTATGTAGCATTCACACGCATACTGAAGCACGGCGCTAAGGACAAAGATGATTAGTGACAGATGTACATTGTTATTATGGGTTAGACCAGCTAGATCCTGTTACTTGGCAAGCTTCACTGTTGTATAGCTTACTGAAGGTCATTTGCAAGCTGCTTGTGGGAACACAGTGTACCACTGGACCCCCCCTCTAACTCCTCAACCACTACTCTCAAAGCTCATTTGCACATCTGTGAAAAATTAAGGGTCTGTATAAGCTAGTAAAACGTATTAAAAGACCATCATGGATAAAGCTGGAAATAAACTGAAAAAAGGAGTCCGAGTCATTTTTTTGTTGCAAATTGAAGTTCTAAGATTGTGTTCAGAGATGATTCACCAAGACACTATTGCATTTTCAAATATTTTATTTTAAAACAAAGGAAAATAGATGTGTCAGTTTTAATGATGAATTAGATCAATAACAATTCAACAGTGCACACTACATTCCAAAGGTACGTAAGTTCACAGGATCAGTCACCGGATTGAACTAAAGGTGCTGACTCAATGTAGAAATATAAATACACGACATGGCAAAAAGGTTTGTGGACAGCATTATGGACTTCTTGTTCTTTTCTTTTTTAATAGTGGAGCAACTTTGAACTGAACATTAAACATGTTTTGAAAAAGGCCTGTCAAATGTTCCCTTTTGTCTGAAAGCTAAACATATTCAGTTTACTAGCATGTGATGAAGAAGAGCAGATGTTGAGTTTCAAATGACCATATACCGTATATTTACCATATATAAGATAATAGTTGGTGATAGACCCATTTTCTAAAAGACTGAAATCTGTATGCAGATTGATGTACAGGTGTGTACAAACTTCTACATCAAAACAGTCGGTACACCACAAGGAGATGAACAACATGTTCTCTGTATTATTGAACCATTTCAGATACTTAACGATAAACTGATGACGTTTTAACAGATTTCTTGAATAATTTGGCCGTGGTAGTTATTTGGGGGCTTTAAAGAGAAATCAGAGGTTTTCAAAACTCAAAGCTTGGGAAAGGCCCCTTTGCTTTGCTCAAATCATGGATGCCTATCATCCAATAGCCACTTAACAATTGAGGCGACATGGCCAAATATAGTTTTTTGACATAACTTTACACTACACCAAATGTATTTTAAAAAGTCTGTCTTAAGGCATGACTCAGTCTCTGACTCTGGGAAAGTTGTAAAAACAGTATAATTCCCAAAAGCTTTAACTAATTTAGGTTTTTCTATGCGATTGTCTATATATTTTTCAGGGCTCACATTTTGAAAACCTCTGATCTACATTATTTGCCACAAATCAAAACTTTCACAGTGTTTGTTGTTCTGATTTCATGAGGAGCTCTTAATTTCTCTTTAATCCAGAGGACGTATCCCAGATGTACCTAACATAGAGCCAAGAACCAGCCTCCTTCTGTTCTCAGGACTCACTGTGATGAGGGCTCTCTCATACACATGATCAACCCAACAATAAATAGACAAAGACCGCATCCACTCGTGATGCTTTCTGTACACAGCTGCTCACAGAGCAATGATTAGCACATGATATGGGACACTTCGCTTACTCCGGCAGGGCGAGATTTTTCGACTGGATCTTTGATTGGTGGTCCGCTATACAAGCCTCGATCTTGTCACACTGTGCCAGGAAATCCTATTGGTGGAAAATAATCACATTTATTGACAATGATTTTCAATTACAGTACAACATTCTAGTGATGCTGGAAAAGGGTTTACCTGGACGGTCTTTACAAGTCCCTTTTTCTTCATTTTGCAGTCATTGAAATTATCTGGGATATTCTGTTAACAGAAGAAACACTTCAGGTTTATATGTGACATCTGTAAGAAACCAAATGCTCATAAATTAATCAAACAAAATGGATCACCATAGCATCAATCTGCTCAAGAATCTTCATGAATTGTTCAGCTGCTATTTTCACTCGGTGGTCTAGTTTACCCAACGCCTCGGCCTGGAGGTCTTTGGCAAGGAAGCCCTGTGAAAGAAAATCCATAGTCAAACTTTTTAACAGTACTTTCAACAAAAATATATTGGAGAACAGAATAGAGCAACACAGGAAAATGATGCATCTTTCAAAGCAGGATTGATTTCTTACGTTCTTGAGTCCAGTCAACTCCCCGTCGACCTTCTCCAGCTTTTTAGCGCTCTGTTCTACAGATTTCTCAATGTCTTTCAGCTTCTTCAGTTCAGACTCTTCCTCAGGACTATTCTGTTGGTAAATTATTGCCAGTATTTATTGAAATATACAGTCACACACAAGAGAAATCACACATGTTAAGGCCTTACCCGCTTTCCAATCAGCATGAGTTTGCAGCCTTCTTTTACTCCGTAGCTGGACAGACTCTCCTCCACATCCTTCAGGGATTTTCCTGGAATGACATGAAGAATAAGGCATGATTAGAGGTGGGTGTAAAATAATAAGATATGCAAGGATGTGGAAGAAAAGAGGCCGACAGTCTACCTTTGAAGATGAGTTTCTGTGACGTTTGAGGAACTCCAGTGGCTTGGGCAAGAGCATCTGAGAGGTCTTTGACAATGGGTCCTTTGCCCTCATCCTGGCCAGTTAATGTGATGCTGTGCTTAGCAGATCCTTTTGGGAAAGAACAAAATGTATCATTAGCACAATCATTAGCGACAATTACTTTTTAAATTGTGGGAGATTATTTTTCTGGAACAAACTGATTCATACTTTTCACTACAATGACCTCTAGAAAAATCTCTTGACATAAAAAGGAAGCAGATTCTACCAGAAATGATTTGTCCCAAGCACAGTTACATGTTTTAACTACAGTCAGCCCCCTCATCCCTCACTGCATTTTTGCACATTTGTCTTGTGTTTAGAAAAATGTGTTCCACCTTTACCAGCTGTGATAAAAACATCAATAATTAGAACCAAAATATGATATATTATTCTGAAATGGGTCAATATGCATAATGTGTACTTTTACTTTTTGTACTTTAAGTATATGTTGGTGCCAATACTTTTGTTCTTGAGTAACATTTTGAGTACAGGAATTTTACTTGAAAGAAAGTATTCCTACACTTTGGTATTTCTACTTTTACTAAAGTACAAGATCTGAAGATCTGATCCACCTCTCGCCAAATATAATTTGCCCCAACTATATTTACCTTTAATACCCTCGAACTGAATGTAATTAACATACAATAAACAATAAATACATGCATTCAATGTTACACTTAAGACTTGTGACGTTACGATGGCAAAGCAAAACAACGGATTTAATAACATCAGTAATGTCCCATTCAAGTATGTCCACGTATTAATAAAACCAATTACTTAAGCAGCAGGTTTTAGAGATAAGCGATGCTGTTGTGATTTTTATCCCAAATCTTTGTTGTGTGTGAAGACAATTCATTCATTTACAAATAAACGTGTTTTTGATAATCCATGTTATGTAGCTGTAGACCAACTATTCAGATATCAGACAAACAAAGACACGGTTAACTTGCATGCACTGTTTAGTCAGGATTTTTAGCTACTAAAGTGAAATGCATGGTAAGAGCTAACTGTAGCTAACGTTACATCAGCTAACCACTTCCTAGCTGGTTATTAAACTAACATACTCGTATCTATCATCTGGGAACCATAGTTTAACATCATGCAAAAATGGTATTACCGTATGCAACTATCACTGTTAACGTCTGCCCTGACATGTTGTTTATAACGTCCTTTACTTAATGCACAACATAAATCACACAACTAGCTTTTGCTAACTGTTGCTAAATAACTACTTCCGGTACAGACAGGAAACAATCCATCTAATGTCTTTATTTTAGTTTTTAGTTTATTTATCTTTTGCCAACAGCACAATTGCTTACATCCAGACAAAAAGTGTACATAAAATTGAAAAACAGTGACATAACCAGAGTATTTATGGTTTTTATTCAAGCGCACGCATACCGATATTAACCAAAACACATTACGAGTTTCCACCATTTTTTTTGTACCACCTATATGTGGTACTACATTTAAAGATGTATCAATTCATCAAACTAAAATTAAATTGTGAAGTTTCACATTTGGTTAAAATATGAAGATTTTTTACAGTGTGCACAAAGACTTAGGCAGAACTGGCTCTGTGGCGCAATGGATAGCGCATTGGACTTCTAGCAAAACACTGGTGAAGTGATTCAAAGGTTGTGGGTTCGAGTCCCACCAGAGTCGACACTTTTAAGATTACAGCCTGTTGAATTCTTCAGATTCCTCCCCTCAAAACTGTATAAGATATAGCGCGTTAGTCTATGTTTGATAACCGTGAAGTAGCCGAAATACGCCCTGCGAGCGCTGTATCGAATCCCGCTCAATCCCTTGTATGTCAGAACATGTAAAAGTGGACCTTTTTTATTATTTTACCATACTTTTGGGTAGGTTGTGAATAAAATCAATGGATCATTTACGTTCTTCACCACAATCATTCGTGATTCATTGTATGTTTAAATTATTGTACTTTGTAACAGAAATCTTCAAAGTAATTCATGTTATCAAATCAATGAAGTTAAGAGTAAAATATTTGCCTCTGAAATGTAGTGCAGTTGAAGTAGCATGCAAGACATTTCCCTGTAAGGGATTAATAAAGTGTATCTTCTTCTTCTTCTTCTTCTTCTTCTTCTTCTTCTTCTTCTTCTTCTTCTTCTTCTTCTTCAGTAAGTACATCATTGTACAGTACTTATATAGATGTACTTAATATAGAATCTTACTTAGAATATAAGTATATGACAAATATGAGGATTATTGTTGTTTTGTGCATTTATTATTATAATTAAAACTTTTAATAAATGTATTAAAACCTAATAACAAAGTATTAAGTAAATACAACAATAATGAAAGTGAAATATGATGATGAAATATTCAAAACAGAAACATCCATAGTTGTTTTATATTTATTTATATATTTCAAACAACAATAATAATAACAACAACAATTATTACAATATTTATAGTCAAATGTAAAATAAATACAAATAACAAGACAATAAAAACAGTGCAAAATATAACAAAGTGAAAAAGTTGTAAAATAAATAACAAATATTTAAAAGAAGTTAAAAACACAGAAACATCCAAAACTGTTTTATACGTGCTATGAGGTCACAACAACATTGTAATACCAATATAAACAATAATAATAATAATAATAAAAGTGTACTATATATAACATAACTAATTAAACAGTGCCATAAAATGTAAAGAAATAAAGTGTCAAATAAATAACAAAATGACCCACCTGCTCACAACATTTTTCCCCATACCTTCTCTGCTCCAGCACAGCCCTCCAGTCCTCATAGGACTGGGTCTCTGATTCTTGACAGGACCAATTGCCAAAGTACTGTAAATGGGCTTCCTGTCTTTGTTGCACTTTTTACAAAGGATGGTGTCTGTCTTTTTGACATACTTTCTTTTGCCTGATCCAGATTGCTCCCTCTCCTCTTTTCCTTTCCTGTACTGCTGTGTGGTGTACGGCACGTTACTCTGACCGGATGTTAGTGCCTGAGTAGCTGATAGCATTGGCATGTTGAGAAGCATCATCTGAGAGCTTCCAGGCACAACCTGTGAAGGTCCAGGCACTTGAGGAAGCTGCACAGATGGTACCATGTATGGTGTTGAGAAGGGTGGAGTCGGTGCAAGGAAGGGAAGAGCATAGTATGCAGGTGGTGGTGGGACCTGTGAGATGGCCACTGGTTGTGATCTCTTCTGGAGCTTTGCCTCACCAGCAGTGTTTGGTGGCAGAACAAAGGTGTGAGGCTCAGCCAAACTGCCAGGATACAGAGATGTCCCTTTCTGCATTGCCACAAGAAGCTGCTCAGGTCCTGCCATGCGAGCGTCAGGAGCGGGGATACCCTGCTTCAGGACCTGCTCTTCCTGAGACCTGCAGCGCCTGCTGAACCTGCGCAAACATGAAACAATCAATTATAACGAACAAAATGGAATATTTGTAATGAAAAAAGTTGGGATTATTTTGAACAGTAAATCATTTTATTGGGTAAGTATTACAGTGTAAGTATACATGTTTTGCAGTATATGCAGTATGCTTATTTACTCACCATTGTGTGACAGTTGCAACATTCACTTCTGGGAGCTGGATGGTGGTCTCAGTCATCACCTTGGCGTTGGTGATCACGCACTCTCGGATGTGCTTATAAGCACGTATCACCATTTTGAACCGGGCCTCCACCGCTCTGTTGCAGTTTGGCCACTGTGCAGGACTGTGAGCCCCAATGAAGCACCTGCAAATCCAACAGAATACTTATTATTATGAATTACTAAAGATTGAGATGTATTTGTACTTTTCTGTAATTTGACTTCCCTAAAGTTATGGGGGAAACCCAGAAAGTGTTGTTCTGCTTTATTCCATCCGACACACACACTTGCTTATTGTATGTCTCTTAAGTAATTGTTTGTTTTGGACCCAAGAAAGGAAAGGTGGTATTCAAGTAAATAAGGATCCTTTAATAACCTTGACTACACTTATTAAAGTGAAGACAGTATTTCAGCCAGTTTCAGTCATGTTAAAATGTTGTAGATAATGTCTCTGTGTTTACTTAATGTAACAAACTCTAGTTTGGGTGTGTGAGGGTGGATGCTGGGGCCTTTGCTGCCTCGAAGGACACAGGCAGTTGGATGAGGTGGGGTTTTTGCCGTGCACGGACCAAAGCTAAATAAAGACAAATTAAGGACAATCAGATAAACATCACAAGTATTGAAGAGTACTAAACATTAAAAATAAGTGTTATCAAATAAATGTTTGCTTACAGGGTTTGGTTTTGAGGGGGGGAAACCAGCCGTTTCACTGCGTTTGTCAGGCTCCTTTGATTTGGCACCTTCTGTCCAACCAAAAGGGAGCGGAGTGAAGAGGTTGAGGCATGCTGGCTGGTCCCAGCTTGCTGGGTGGGAGCAGCATGCTCTGTGGTGGTCAAGTGCTGGGCAGGGGGAGTGACCTGGGCAGGGGGAGTGTGCTAGGGAGCTTTGGCAGCATATTGTTCTTCTTTCATGGCAATGGCAATTCTACCAGAAGGAAAGAGCTCAATATACTCTTTGAAACAGCCCTTATTCAGGGCATGTTCTTTGGAGTCTTTGCAGCCTCCTGTCGGGTCTCTTTTCATTGCTGCCACCAGGTAAGCAGCATAGCCAAGATAATTTTCCGCCACCCAACGGAAAGTCTGCCCGCGAAACAGACCAAACTGGATTTCAAAGAAACCCAGCAGGTGTCTTCTGTTGGATGGATCTCCACGGTGCTGGGTTATGGCTGTTCTGGCCTTGTCCATCACTTCCTCGGGGGAAAGAGGTCGAATCCACGGCCTGGCTTTGCTTCCAAAGTGTCTGTCATGTTAAGACTGCCGTCAGCCCGTTTCCAGATGTTTTCCATCTAGAGAATAAGAAAATAGTCATATTTATAAAAAACAAAAGAAATATATCATTTATAATAAATATTTAATAAACAAGCTGTAAAAGATTACATATTGATTCAAAGAAAAACTGTTGACTACATACAATAAGAATTAAAGATGAATACAAACTAGTACAAATGCAGATTATGCATTTAAATCAGGGACGTGCACAGGTACGGGCTAATGTTGCCCGGGCAACGGCCCGTTTGGCATTTTTGGCTGACCTGCCCCTCTGGAGAAAGCGAGAGTTTGTTTTTGTTTTTTCTGTTGTGGCCGAATCAACATGATAAGCCCACAATTAGTATTGTAGCGTCTCGCTGCGGGAAGCACACTTTGTCAGCGCTGTTATCTGCTGGTGCGTTAAAGACCACATCAGTGTCGGATTTTGGAAACTTGATTTTGAGTTGTCTCGTGGCAGTTAGGGTATAAGGGACAAACCAGGGGACTTTACTTCCTCTTGATACTGTCGGTTATTTACAAAAAACACCTAAATATAGCCTTTGTTATTGTGCTTCTGTCTTTCTGTGTCTTTTCATCTGTAAACTCCCTCAACGCACCGCTCGCTCTCTTTTCTTGATCGCCCTCTCACGGGTGAACAGTTCAATGTCCCGCTTCAGTGTAGGATTTCTGCCATGTCTCTACCACTTCAGTTTGACCATCTCTGTTACTAAGTTATGGAATACTAAATAACTAAGTAATTAGATACCTTACCGTTACTGCGCTCATAAAGAATAATAAGAATAATGCGTATTGAACTGGTTTAATTAATTAGTGAGTTTATTTAAGCTAATTAGCTAGAGGCTCTATTTTATCAGTATGTCTGCACAGCAGTTACAATGGTCAAACTACATTAGAACAGAATTGTCCCCATTTTGTCTTTAATAGTTACTAACATTAGATATTTTAATGAGATATGGACCACAGAACATTTTAAAAATCAAGTCACCGAATGCAAGTAGTCGCCTTAGCTTATTTTGTTATGAGATGTGAATCACTGTTCAATTTAGTTGATGTAATAATCGTTTGGTTTCCTTTACAAGTTAAAAACAAGTTACAATTTTCAAAAGGTCTTGTGTTTTTTTTCGGGGGGAGGCCCTTTTTCCAGTTTAGAGCAATAGCCCCTCCAAATGTCTGTGCACGTCCCTGATTTAAATGTAATCAATCAATCGAAATGTAAAAACAGCATATATTTTGTATGAAAAACTTGACTTCATCGTAACTGTTTAATAATGTCCTCTCAATTATAGTGTATTAAAGTACCTTACGATGGAAATAGGCCTGCCTAATCAAGTAGAGTACAAGTATTTCATTAAAAAAAGGTGGTGTAACTGTAAAAAGGTGGTGTAAACTGCATTGTAACTTCCCTTCACTGTGCCCCCCCAAAAACGGGTATCCGGTTACAGTCAAGGGCAAGATTTGTTTTGCTCTTGTTTTATTTGTATATCATGCTCGCTTAAAAACTAAATTAACTTTTAAAACACGTCGGTCGCTGCCATAGACTGTAGATATAAAGGTCGCTGCACCGGTGACAGAGAACAAAAAGACAACAAAAGAAGCTCCGCTCGCTCGCTCCATCCCGTCCCGTCCGTGATTCTCTCTAGCTCATACCGTAGTTATGTTAGTCCTTAACTTTAGCTGGGTGATGTCATAAACAGGCATGTTATTTAGCCAGATATGTCAACATTAAATGTACGATACATGTACAATAATCCGCTACCGGTAAACATCACGGAACGGCGGGACATGTCCGGTTCGCTAGTCATTTGTAAAATGTCCCTGAGAATGTTGTTTACTTAAAATATATCTATACATCTAATATGACAGTTTATAAGCGTTGACAACATAGTTAAGGATGATGTACTTACTTGTGATGTTGGAAACAAATTAATCTCTCGCTCGCGGCGTCCGCAGAGTATACCCCGCCTACGGAGACGCTGATTGGTCAATTCTTGGTTGCTGCGGAGCCAATTCTTGGTAACAATACGGGCGCTGATTGGCCAGAGCTCTCAATTCTTGGTAGAATCTTGGTAGAATCTTGGTAGCAGACGTGAACGTGATTGGCTGTCGCTACCAGGAATGGCTCGACTCACAGGTGACGGGGAATATCATGTTACAAACTGTACAGTCTACAAGTGTCCTCTCAGAGAAGTAGTTTCCAGATTTATCCACACGGTTTCCATCATGAATTTGTATAGCCCAGACTTTGAATTTACATTTTTGATTAAAAAACTACATGCCATAACAGGGTTAACTCCTGTCAAACATATTATAATGCCTCCTATGTTCGAGATGTTTAAGCTTTTAAACGAACATACAGTAGGGAAGGTGCAATATTTGATTTATGTATAAATACAATAGGGAAAAGTGCAATATTTGATTATGTATGAATGCAATAGGGAAAGTGCAATATTTGGTTATGTATGAATACAATAGGGAAAGTGCAATATTTGATTATGTATGAATGCAATAGGGAAAGTGCAATATTTGATTTATGTATGTGCAATAGGGAAAGTGCTGTACCTGTATGTTTCTTGTTTGTTTCTTTGCCATGTGATATGTGATCTCTGTTCTGTATCTATGACTGATTGTCCTAAATGTTTTATGTTTATTATCTCGATGCCCAAGACACATTTCTCCTAAGGGAGACAATAAAGCTCTATCTATCTATCGATCTACATGGTACTCGCAATATCAGGAAGGATGTCATAAAATGTTTGTCAATACCAAACAAAGTCCATTTGAAGGTTAAACTTTGTGTGTTTGTAATATATCTGGAGGACTTTATACAAACAGACTAAACTTTCAAAATGGAGTTGATTTAAATATGATGTATTGAATTATAGAGATTTGGATGAAGACGTTTTCAACATTTTTACACATTGAGTTAACGTGAAAAAGAGACCTTTTTAGGAAATGATGTACAAAGTTGTTTGTAATGTCTCTCTGTAATATGGTTGGCTTTATGTTTATAGACATCTCTTTTTCTAGTCACTTAAATATAATATTGGATGGATTACTCTATACCAAATTATGTTTTTCCAAAGTATAGTGTGTCAAAATCTGGATTTATAAGAAACTAGTAAATACATCTGTAAAATAAATACAGTGGAGTAGATGTACAACATTTGCTTCCAAAATGTAATAGAGTAGAAGTATAAAGTGTTATAAAATGGAAATACTTCGGTAAAGTACAGGTACCTAAAATCTGTACTTATTTATAAAGGAAAAAGCACTTTAATACACTTCACAGTGACTTAAAGATGTTAAATGCAATGATTTGGTGTCCTGGTTGAAAAATAATTAACCAAAGAATGCAGTGGTAAGTTAAAACACATAATTTAATTTGCATGTTTAAAATAATAGAATAATCTCCACTTGTAAGACAAAACTAAAACATAACAGTGATGACAGAACAACACACAAAACAAGAACACAATTAAGACAAATAAAAATGAGCTTGGTAATACTGGTGATGGACGAGACTGATGGATAAGTGCTAGACAGGAGGACGGAAACAAACAAAAGGGGAATCATGTTTTTAAAAAAGGTCACACAAGGCCACATGCTAGCACGGTAGTGTTAAAAATACACAACCCAACACACGGATGGCTTCAAAATCGTAGTGTTCTCAGGTCAAACCTTTTGCATGTATAAATGTTACTCTTATAAAAGTGTTTTCAGTTGAAGTGCAGTTGCTTTAATCCATCCCTTGTTTACGAGGCAGGAATCTGTGGCAGGCCGAACTCATCCACCGGAACGCCGTCCTGAAATGACAAAAACAAAACACTTAAAAAACAGAGGTCTATCCGAGGCCCCCAACAGCTTAAAAGACCAATCTAATAAGCAAGTTCACCTTGTTTGCTCAAAGTGAAAATGTAGCATGCGTACAGTCATCATTTGGGTTATAGTAAAAAATCATATGCTGGTTTTGCTCCTTGTGTGTCTTAAAAACAGTTTTTTAAGATAGAGATATTAAAAGGGCATATTTTCTTTTTTAAAGGAGCCAATATAATTAAATGTCGTTCATGTGATGAATAGAACTATTTGGAAAAGAAAGTGATCAATATTCAAAAGGAACTTAAAAGTGTTAAATAATTAAAATCAAATAAAAACCTACACGATTTACTCCCAAAATATGAGACGTGTGATTTTCATTTTTAGTGGAGCAGAACACTGAAAATGATATCAACAGTCTCATACATTATAGCCCGTTAACCTCAAGAAAATATTTAGTTGACAAAGCACACATGATGCTGTGGCGCGGTGGAATAGTGCGTTGGTGTTCGGATCAGGGGAGCACAGGTTCAAACCCCACTGCAGTCAGCATGTCGTTGTGTCCCTGGGCAAGACACTTCACCCCAAATTGCTCCTGTGGGGATTGCCCACAGTATTGAGTATGTAAGTCGTTATGGATAAAAGTGTCTAACATGTAATGTAAATGTGAAGCATGCAAAATAAAGAGATTTATTTTATTTTTATTTCACTTCCATGCATTCTTTATTCTGTAATTCTCCACTTGGTGCCTTCATTATAAAGTGTTAGTGACCACGATCTTCTGAATACTGTTACCTTGTTTGTCTTGGCGTCGCTGGGCATTCCCTCTGGGATGGAGGGGGAGGCCGAGGCGTCGTCCAGGTACGAGCTGTCGTCGTCCAGCAGCAGCTCGTCGCCCAGCGCGTCCAGCTCTGATTGTTCTCAATTGTTAATAGAGTGAATATGAAAGACTATTTGTGTCAATCAATAAGGGCTGCACCATTAATCGCAAACTTATAGCAATTGCAACATGGACTAGTGCAATATTCAAATCTCAGGAGGAACAATATTGGTTAAATGCTAAATATGATGTCATAAGAATCAAATTTAAATCTAAAGTATCGTGGTGCTGCAGAGGTGCTACAAATCCTCTTTTACAGACTGATTAAACATTTTTGTTTGCTACAGATCCTCTTAAAAAGTTATCTAAATATGTTTTTCAATGATATTGAGCAAAATGATCATTCCCTTAAATATCATGAATATCATATTGCAATTGGAATACCAGTCAAAATGATCACGATGAGTTATTTTTCCAAAATCATGCAGATCTACAGTCAATTACTTTCATGTTTGCCTGTGAGCGTGAACAATAGTTACATTCTACAGTTCTCCACCTGTGTTTTTAATTCTGGTTAAATCAAGTCAAATTCCTCGTACGTACCTGGTAATAAACCTGTTTCTGATTCTTGTTTCAGAATTTTTTAAGTATTTTGTGTTCTGTTTTGAAAAGCTTAAAGAACCATTAGTTGTTTCTTTATTAAACTGGCAGCATCAAAATGGCGTGGGCCCAGAGACTAAATAAAATAAAAAAACATGTCAGGTATACCTGCTTCAAGATCATCCTCGTCTATATCTGGAGTGCCGTAGCTGCGGCTCAGCGCCTCTTGAACCTCGCTGGCGTCCTCCATCATGTCCTCCAGTTGGTCCTGTAGATCCTGAAATATCAAACATCCATGATCACTCAATATGTATCAACTCTGAATGAAACAAGGGTACGTCTTGACATAGTTTAAGACATTCTGAGGCACAAATAGAGAAAATAGATGATCCTTTGTTAGCATTGATGTTCAGTGTACCTATTATTGAATTATAACACAAACAGTTTAGCGGTAAACCTACATCGATTTGATCAACTTTGACGTCCTTGTAAGCTATTTTCATTTCCTTTGCACCGATCTTCATGGCCTCCACCTGTAAACAGAAAATACATTGCACAAGGTTTATATTTTGTCATAGGTAAAAAGGACATTATTCGCCCTGGAATATAATCAGTTATGTGTCTTTTTCAGGTAGAGACACATGGAAAAAGATGAAACGTCTGAATCTGAATATGTGAGATTTCTTGTCTCAGGCACTCCATAGGTATTTAAGACGGCACGAGAGGACTGTTTGGCATGACAACGTTTTATCCCTTACTTAACACTAAGTTTGCTTATCAAGTCGTTTGGCTCTTACGGTTGTTTTGGTGTCCTTTAATGTCTGGATGGTGTAGTTTGTCTGCTCCATGTTGAAAGACTGCTGAGCCAGCTGCTCTCTTTGACCTTCATACCTGTGTAAAACAAACACAGGTGAGTTTTAAAACAATGAGCACTTCATATTATTCTAAGTAGAGCCATTCCAATACTGGATTTTTTAAGGCTGCAATAGATAGACATTCGAGTGGCCATATATTGGCTAATATTTGTAACATGCAAGCATTTTTTAATGAAGAATGAAGCCCTAAACTGTATTGATCATGAATCATAACCAAGGAAACTGAAAAGTAACCCTGTAATGGTGACACAACTTATGAATTATAGTATTGACATATATGGCATTTCCATACAGAAACATATTAATACAGTACTTATTTATTTATATATCTTAGGGTATAAACTGTGCAGTGGACTCACATTCTCTTCTGCTTCAGGACTCTCAAAGCCTTCTGTTTGACCATGTTCTGTATTAAAAAAAAAAGGAATCATGATGTAGGGCTGCTCAATTAATCCTATTTTAATCGCGATTACGATTATGGCTTGCAACGATTACGAAAACAACGTAATCGAAATAAAACGATTATTTTTATTATTATTACTTTTTTTTTTCAGTTGAATTACACTTAAAGTTCAGGGTAATCAACTGTTAAAAACATACTGTTCAAAAACATTTTCTCCAATACATGGATGTTTTCAAAGTCAATGAATAGCATTCAATAGCATTTAATAATCGCAATTACAATTATTGACCCAAATAATCGAGATTATGATTTTTGCCATAATCGAGCAGCCCTATCATGTTGCATTAACCTGAAAAACAATCTTGTAATCTTCATAATTCCTATGGTTTACTTGTGTTTGTGATACCTTCGAGGGCCCGTCTCTCATCTTCTTCATCTGATCTTTGTACTTCACAAGCTCAACGTCTAGTCTGCCAATCTTCTTCTCTATGGACTCTGATCTTGCATCCACCTGCAGAAAAGAGGGGGTTGATTAGAGGAGTATTGATTTGCAGCATCCTTGCAGAAGAAACACACAGCCTTAATACCCAACCTGTGTGCTGCATGAGGAAGACAGGAAGGGAGACAGAAAGCGCGTAAACAGCATAGGCTACTATGTTCCCAAACTCAATAATTTCTTAATTTGGCAAATCAAGGACATCTTTCAAAGAGTAATATGTTTGCATCAATGTTTTTCTTACATTTAATGTATTTTTCTCTAGGTCAATATGTTGCAAACACCTAAAGCTCGTAGCCTATTATGATAAATACCTTGAAACCACCTCAAAGTTGTGGGCAAGACAATTTTTTCTTAAATTTAGACATTGCCCCGACCCAAACAATATAAATAAATATACATATATTTATTTAATTTGATTTAGTTATATTATCATCTCGTTTATTCTAACAACTAATATTGTAATTCACTTGTTTTGGTTCTTTCATTGATTGAAATGTATTTCACTGTATTTGTTATTATTATTATTTGTTGTAATTTTGCTTGAGTTATAAATTATATAAATAAATGTTATTTGGGCTGCCTTTGAATTTCATAATTGTATTTGCTTAGGAAACACATGTCAAATGTCATGCTAATAAACCCCATTAACCTGAATTGATAGCTCTCATTTCACAATCAAGACCCTGGAATATATAAGGATAAGAAAGCTAGAGGTGTAAAAGCATGAGCAAAGGAAAATAATTGACGGCTGTTGGTTAACAAATATATACCTATTTCACAGTCTAAACCAGAATGAAAAACAAAAGCGAGGGGGTATTTATATTGCTGGTAGTGGGGCAGGTGTTTGTTAACAGAAGCATGTTAGCAGTGTTAGCTCAGTGATGGCACCTGAGGTTGTAAACAACAAAACAGAGACTCACATTTCCGATACAGTCCGACAGATTTGGAGTAGGCGACTTCGGCTTTCCGCGTCCAAATATTCGGTTCATTTTCTAAACGTTTTGTAGCTTTATTTCGTAGCTTTATTTAGATGAAATACAAAGAAACATCAAATGAAAACGGATTTACACCCGGAAGTAACGGTTCAGACGCAAACGGTTCCTATTGGTTGGTGTGAACGGTTGTGGCGAATGAGATGAGGTATTTTCTCCAAACACGCCTGCCCCCGTGTGGCCAGTAGAAGAAGTGCAGCTGTAGTGAAAACCCATTGTCCCCGCAGATGCACTAGTCTTTGTTAAACCTCCACACTGCAGATACAGAGAGGGATTGAATGCAGCTTTTAATTATATTGTTGACCTAACTTTACTCTACTACATTTATCTGAAAGCTTTTGTGACTTTAAATACTTGGATTATTAGCAATACAATATCAATCAATCAATCAATGTTTATTTATATAGCCCAATATCACAAATGTTACATTTGTCTCAGTGGTCTTCACAGTTTGTACAGAATATCAGTATGACAATACGACACCCTCTGTCCTTTGACCCTCACATCGTACAAGGAAAAACTTCCAGAGAAAACCCACAGTTTAAAGGGGAAATGGGAGAAACCTCAGGGAGAGCAACAGAGGAGGGATCCCTCTCCCAGGACGGACAGACGCGCAATAGATGCCGTGTGTAATAGAAATAGAAACAATAGATACATCAACTAATAAATGATGACATTATAGGTTAATATTTCTATAAGTATTTTAAATTGGCTCAACATTTACCATCAGCGATAAACCCAATAATGCTTCAATATTCATAATCCGGTATGTTGATATACATTATTCTGAAAGGGGCTATAACACATAATGAGCTATTTTACTTTTGGTACTTTAAATATATTTTGTTACTAATACTTTTGTACTTTTACCTAAGGAAGTCTTCGGTACTGCAAATTGTACTTAAGTGTGAGGTCTGAGTATTTCTTACATCCATAGGAATATAATCCCATCTGCATGTAGGCCTAAATATGATTTGGTAGCAAACAAAGGTAATCATAAAAGTATTAGTGCTTTTTTTTAAAAAAAATCAAAATGGTTTCATGAGTAAGAGGGTTACTATATGTAGACTTCACTGTGTGTCATGGATAATTTAATTTAGTTTATGAACCGCCTGTTTGTAAATGTATATCAACACAAGCCAAACTGGCAACGACTTGTTCTCAATTTATGTATTGTGAAAACCAGTAATACAAGTAATAGCAAAATTCTGTTTTTGTCAATCATTGTTTTAGGATGTGCTTTATGCAGCTGCAGTGATTGAGGGTTTTCCCCTGAACGATGAAGTCTATTAGAGCCTAATTAGGCACAGGAGCCTATTTCTGAACCTGGCTATGTAATGGCTTCCCAATGCACACAGACCTTGACAGACAGAAAACTGCAGTAATCTTGGTCATTATGGCTAATAGCATAATCAACGCACACAGGAACTGACTGATTTAATATGCCTCTCAAATCTCTGAGAATCCCTCTGCATACCATTAGGAAAAACCTTTGTCCTTTCCAATAATGATCATGGCCACCTGGTGGATGGACATCTCATTTTATGTTTACCTCTTTCCAGCACTTTTTCAATAATTGTGTTTAAAGTGCAATACTGTAATTACTATATATATAACTTACACTAATTATAACTGTAAATTTAAACATAGTTTTGCTGTATTTTATATATCTATATTTTGTATGACCAATAACATTTCATGAACGAGACATTAGTCTGCATAGTGAACATGAAATGGTATTTATTGTCAACACATTTGTGCAAATTATATCCACAATTTAAAAAAGCGGAAGCCTCAAACGCGAAGTGGAAGTAGCGGCAGGAGAAAGCAGGCGTGTCAGTAATAATTATATAGCAGTACTGGTATTAGCACAAGTATTGTAACTACAGTATTATCAAATATAATACATGACATGAGTAGTATTTCAGCGGGAGCATAGTCCCAATAGGCCCAAAATAAACTTCATAGAAACCAAACAGGTCATGCTAATGCAAAATTAGACACCATTTACAAGATCATAATTAGATATTAAATACAAATGTCTGTATTAGATTGAAAATATTCTGCAGTTATACACTATTCTTCCCTAACTACCAAATTATTCTGTAATTAGACATGACACTAAATGCTATCAACATGAACATAGCAATACCATTTTTTTCAAACCAAATGGGCAGCAACTATAGACTGTATATACTGTATAATGGTCATAATGCAATTTAGCGCATGGCCACCAACGAAAAAAGGAAACACTTACTTTGGGTTGAGTTGAAGTGAAAACAGAGGATACACTTTGATATTGATCTTTAAATGAAGCAAACTCACTTTTCACCGCTTTAATGTGACACATGGAGCATGTTTTGATATTCAAAGCTAAAAGATACAGCAACATATCCAACAGATACAGTCAATTTATAATGCAACAGCACATTATACACACAGTATGTGGTGCTCAGACCTGAGCTGATCATTTGAATATGAAAACAATATTTTCTATTGTTTAAAATACAGTATTTGAGGAATAGATAAGAAATACATACCAGTAACCAACAGGGGTCCTCAGTAGGACTTCTAGAGTTTTAAAGATAATGCTACAATAATTAAAAGCAGTACGTTTATACCACAACATACTTTCATATCATTAAAGGGAAAGAAAGGCAGCATCAAAATGGATGTGGCTAATTGCTGATCTTTTAAAATAAGCAAAATAGCTGAGTTTAGAGGCCAATTAATATAAGGCACACATAAAAACATGTTCTGCTATAACTACCCTATCAGATTTAGACAGATACATATATTAACAGGTTGCTCTACATTAAGAAAAACCATCACAAGCATGATTTGATCTAGTGACTCGTATGAAAGCTAAAATAATTCAGGAAACAAAGACAGTAATCAGTTACATGTAAACACCCAATTTCCAAGACAATAAACTAATGAGTTCATTGTTATTTACAGTATGAACATTGAATTGCACCAAACACCAAAAGGCATGTTGGATTGATACATATGTGGTTGTCATGTGAGCTGTTTCCTTGGAGCGCTGTAACCCAGTTTTTCAAATAACTAGTATTTCAGACAAGGTGTGAACAGGCCAGTTAACGTAACAATGTATACAACCAACACCTACTGCCTGGAATAAAAGGTGTGGATCGGTGTCAGATGTAATTGTAGTTTGTTAAAATGGCTTCAAAGAACAAACTGTGCACATAGCTTTGAGACCAAAGCCTCATCAAAGTCAGCCATCAGTCAAGAGGAAAATACTTAATGTAGTACGTTCTAGTAGTGACTTACACAGGATGATCCCTGAGAGATTACTATATTACATTACATATCATTTTGTTAGACGCTTTTATCCAAAGCAACTTACATACATTCAATACTGTGTCTTGCCCACAACGACATGTTGACTGCAGTGGGACTCGAACTTGCTGCCCCCTGATTCGAAGTCCATCACACTACCCACTGAGCTACAGCCTCCCTATATATTTTTCATGGGTTCACTGCCAATCATATAGACTATTCACACATTTTTACAGCATCAAAAATACAATTCACAAAAATACACAATCAGTTAAAAACAATACCCATAATGCAGTTTGTTCCCGAAATAATTAGGGCTGATTTCTTTTTTAAATTTTGTTCACAAACCACTAGTTGACTTACCAAGTAAGGTGAACAAAATCTGGTCAAGCTACATAATAATAAATCATTTTTGGTTTGTCTCATCGTGACATCTTAATCATATTTTCATTGTTCATACCAACAATGTGAACAGTAATGACACTTTGCTTTTCTTTGCTGGATTTCAGCTTTGTACATTTTATACATTTCAAAATATTAGATTTATTATCTGGGTTGTGACTCCAGAGGCATTAACTACACTTCACAATCACGGTCTCAAAGGCTTAAACCTAAAGTACATTTTAAATGATTGTTCCAACAATCTTTATTTTTCTAAATGTCAACAGATCCCACGGAAAAACAAACTTTAAAAGAAAAATGTCTCAATACTTTCTCACTTCTCTACCCTGTGTGTAGCCCTTAGCCCCAAGCACAATCATTGTCACTGTTACATATAGTAATAAGAATTGCTATCATGTAGTAAATAGTAAATTAAGTTGTAAATGTAGTAAATGATCAGCGGTCGACTTGCAGTAACACTAGATTTATAATTGTTGAAGCGTAAATGCAATTGACAGAAGTCCCAAGATGAGGGAACCAGAAGTGCCAACATACTTACGAATAGTTGGGTTTAAGGACTCATTCCTGCACACTTGAACTTGACCTTTAAGTAAACTTGGCTGTGGAGTATCTGAGCATCACTCTGGATAAATAAATAAAAGCTTGCCCTGGTTTTAGCCCCTCCCTCAGATGGCAGTGGTGACTTGAGTCGGCAGGTCGTTGGAGTCCTCCCAGCTCTGACAGGGCATGAAGGACGTGTCCATGGCTAGTCATACGGGCCGGGCCTGCCTCCCACCCCCCCGGGCCTCTGTGGGACACGAGTGGTCCCGCAGGGTGCTCCTCACCCGACTCACCCCATGAGAGTCTCCGTGTCCTTTGACTCCGGGGCAGCAGAAGTCTCTGAAGCACCTCTTGAAGTTCTCGTCCAGGAAGGCGTAGAGGATGGGGTTGAGGCTGCTGTTGGTGTAGCCCAGCGCCACGCAGAAGAAGTAGGCGGCCATGACGCCGGTGGTCTCGGGAACGTTGCCATACAGCGCCTTGACTAAGATGAAGATGTGGATGGGCGTCCAGCACACCACGAAGACGGCGACCACCACCAGGACCAGGCGGGTGATCCGGCGGAGGTTACGGTCCTTCTCTCGTGAGCCTGACAGCAGGCGCACGCTCTTCAGACGCAGCACCATCAGCGTGTAGCAGACAGTGATGATGATGACGGGTGCCACGAAGCCAAAGATGAAGACGCAGATCTTCATCAGGGTGTCCCAGTAGCTGTAGGGTTCAGGGAACTGCAGGGCACACTCTGTAGTCCCTGTTAGTCCCATAACAACAGAGTTTACCAGTCAAACACAAAGAAAACATAATAAACCTAACCCCAAATTCAGAGGAAACCAAAAAGACAAAGAGTACTTAGCCAGAATCCGGTTCGTCACCTAGCCTCATAGTGCATTGAGCTTTATAATCGTGCACGATCTATCAAACTTTTGCTGGAAAAAAAATGCCTCCTTTGAGCTCAATTAACTAGAAGGACCTATAATGTCTATAATTGCTTCATCTATTCAGAAAGGATCATATCAACCCTACAGAACATCCTCTTCAGGAAAGAAGGATACTTGCTGCATCTAATTGAGATATTTAAGGCAAGGTTGGTGCTATGAAGTGGGGCTTGAAGTTTGAAATTGCTTGTTAGAGCCCCTTTGCAGCTGATAGATCTTTTGTCTACTTAGCAGGGAGGGACTGAACCAGAGAGAGATGAGCAGAAAGGCTTATCACTTCTATCAACACACACTATGTCATTATCTGCCCGTAAGAGCCAAGGGGATTGGTGGTGTGGTGAAGTAGATAGGGATCATATGGTTATCTTCAACGCATAACCACACCATAGCAGTTAGGGAGGATTTCACAGGAAGCTAAGTCTCTTCAAAGATGAATGAGGATTTTAACCATTAAAAACACCATTTAAAGCTGTTACAAGTTAAATATTAGTATTCCCCCAATAATGGAACCGCATACATTGGCTGTATTGGCTGCGAGCAAACCTCTAATGTTTGCCAAACTCGTTCCTCTGATTACTTAAGATCAGGGGTGCACATAACTTTTTTGCCCTGGTTCTCAAAGGAGCACCTGGAGATGTTGCTTGGTGCGCAGGGTCGGCGTCATGGGGGGTCATTCGCGGGCCATGCCCCCCCAAATGAGTCACTGTGCCCCCCCAACGCAGGGTTGGCAAGCCTTGCCACTTTGCCGTTTTTTTCTTTTTTTAATCATATAAGTGAAAACGTTTCTACTAAAGGTTTTTTATGTGAAATACATCAGAAATAAAGAATACAAATATAAAACACAGCCTGAGGTGTGCTCACTGCTGCTCTCTGATTGGTGTGTTGCTTGACCAATGACCCCCGACCTTTTTTTTGTTATCATTACGTGGCTGTGTGTTTAGATGAAAGCCCAGTGGCGATCTGTTCATCTGTTATACTGATTATACAGTAAAGCCATCGAAAAGAATATGATATACAGTACAGTACAAGTACATGGGTCTCTGTGTTTCATTCAAGCTCGGCTCTGTGTGGCACGAGCGCATTTTGTGAGTGCGCGAGTGGTAACGTGGAATGTTGTTAGCATCTGGTTAGCTAGCTATGCTAACGGATATAAAGGGCTATTTCTACACCAAGGTGGAGGAGAGTCCTCTCCTGTCAGACTGAGAGGATCTTATAACGTCAGCTCAGTGAGGTAAGGACTCTCTCAGTGTTTAGATAGTTCACTTTAGTGTATCTCAGTGGGTCTCAAACGGTTTGGTCACCATTTATGTAAGTATTTTCGAGGAATACCTTTATATGATCATTATAGTTGTTAAAGAGAGAATACATGAAAAACGGGTATGAAATACTATTGGAAAGTAACAAGAATACAGTTTAAAAGGGGAATGATTAGTACAATATCCATAAAGAAAAAGTAAATCTGTGTACAGTTCTGTTTCATATGGATGCTGAGAGATGTAGGCTATCCATAGATTTCTTCATTTTGCTCTCAAAGTGCACCAGATTGATGCATTTAACTTCAATATTTAAAAAATAATCTTCCCAGGGGAGCATGCCCCCAGACCCTCCTAGAGGAGGTTAGGTCCACCCCCACCTAAAACATGTTCACATGGATAGGATACTAAATACATTTGCATACTTTTTATATGGTGGCCTATGTCCATATCAAATCAAATCAAGTTTTATTTATATAGCACATTTTTCAACGATTTTTGGTCGAGCCAAAGTGCTGTACATATAATAAAAAATAACCTACAGTAAAGACACTTTACAACAAATACAACAGCACAGTTTGTGCAGAATATCAGTATGAGAAAACGACACCCTCTGTCCTTATATGTTTCTGTTTTGGTGGTCGTGCCACAACCGTGCATGAATGCACAAGTCATAGGTGCGCTATACAATAGCACTACACCCCTGCAATGTGTGTGAAAGACAATAGACTTTACAGCATGTTTTTTTAAATTGAAGTTGCGTTGGTGTTTGTGTGTTGGTTGTTGACGGCAGTGTGTGCCCCCCCTTGGTAAATGATTTCCCCCCCATTCGATTTGTTCTAGAGCCGACCCTGTTGGTGCGCATCCTTAAAATGAAATAAACCGGACCTTTCGAGGGGTACTTGACTTTATGAAGGGAGGGGGGGGAGGTGCGCTAGTGAGCACGCAGCAGGGTTACTGTGTGGAGCGCATTAAGCAGACCCATCACGCGATAGCGAGGGGTAGAGTTCAAAATCTGTGTTTCCCCTTGCATTGCTAAGCTATTGCTAAGCTATTGCTAAGCTATTGCTAAGCTATTGCTAAGCTATTGCTAAGCTATTGCTAAGCTATTGCTAAGCTATTGCTAAGCTATTGCTAAGCTATTGCTAAGCTATTGCTAAGCTATTGCTAAGCTATTGCTAAGCTATTGCTAACATTCGTGAAGCTTCTTCCTCTGATAACTTAATGCAGGGTTGCCAACTCTCACGCATCTGGCGTGTGACACACGCTTTCACTCTCAATCTCACGCTCTCACTCTGCCCAAACTATTCTCACGCCAAAAACAAGAATACCGAAGATTAGAAACGGTTTTGAAAACTTTTGTCACGTAGTGATCGTCTTCTCAATAGAACATCTTTGATAATGTCTTCTGGCCAATCAGAATCAAGATAACGGCGTGGTGTTGTTGCAGGAAGTCCCGACGGAGAATACTTTTGCTGTAGTACATCTCTATATACATCGATACACATTACGTGTTGATAGAAATCAACACGTAATGAAATAAGACCCCACGGTTTGATGATTGATAGGTGTGTGGGCTGTCTTTCATTTTGGCACACAGAACAATGTAAATGTAAAGTAATTCACACATCCTCTTCCCTCTGTGAGGAGCAGCAGGTTCAGCTTTCAGAACAAAGTAATACAAAATTAAAATGGCATTCATTTTTTTAAATATGTCGGGTAGTAATAGATTTATTTATTTTTCTTCTCAAGAGAGTACCAGAATGTGTATTTTATGTTAGTATTTCAAAAAATCTCCTGGGGGGAAATCCCCCCAGACCCCCCTGCAGGGGTTGGATTTGCAGCATGTTAACTCTTTCACCTGTGGGTAAATTGCAGGATTGGCTCCAGGTCGCCCTTTTTAATTACTACAAGACTAATGTGCCTTTTTATTTCATACAGTTCAATTTGGATTAAGACAGGGAAATAATCTAACCCTCACGCGTGGCGTTTCACTGTCAAGGGGAGCGTGTAATTACATTGCAAATACTGATTTGAGCCCCACCACTGTATGGGCCCTACCATAGATTACCCAACAAAAATACTCTTGTGCCGCAACTGCCTATCCGTATTGCGCATGCGCAGATCTAAGATCTAGTAGAAATTATAAAAAAAGTAAAAGTGAGAGGGTTAATGTCTAGGCCAAAATAGATCAAAGAGTATGAGAGTGAGAGTGTGTTAATTAATATATTTGGCAGTTTGAAGTAAGTCTGTAGATTTGTTTGTGTGTGTGTGCGTGCTTCATGTATAGGCCTCTCACGACAATTAATTTTGTTGGATACATTTTCCCGGAAATTATTGTCGGCACCGTTGTATGACCATTTTAGAACACTGACATCATAATAAGAAAAGTACATCCTTTCAAACTGCTAGTCACATCCTCATGTAAATGGCAATTTATCGAGTTCATTTTTATTTATCGTACGATAAGTCAATTAATTGCTTATCGCGACAGGCACATAATAAAACAGTGGAAACAAACATGTGTTTGACTTTCATTAGTGAATGAAACTGTGTGTCCTTTATAGTCTTTGTCCAATATTGTGTATTTGTATATATTGTATATATATCCTGTATATATGCTAAGGTCCCGCTACTGACACGATAGCAGTCATTTTGTGCGTATGTGTAATTAAACCCATGATATCAAAATCTCACTCCAGCCAGGTACCCAAAGTTGGCAACCCTGACTTAATGTCAATGTTTAAAATGACTCACATTTTTTTCCCAGTTAAAATATGTAGATGAAAGAAAAAGTTTACAAATGTGGCTTAAAGGTAGGGTAGATAATTCACTTCAGAAACACTTTTTGTTATATTCCATGGAATGCTCTTAAAGGTGGGGTAGGTAAGTTTGAGAAACCGGCTCGAGATACACTTTTTGTTATATTCCATGGAATGCTCTTAACATCCCGATAGCAATGAATATCTTAAGTGCTTTGACAAAAAATCCATTAAAAAAATTCATCTGTGGCCGTAGTACTGTAAAAAGCACGACCAATTATTTTAACCGGTTGTGTACTTTCAATTTCTAGCGCACTCGAGCTGGTTTCTCCATTCTTACTTACCCTACCTTTAATACTCGATACACCAATGATGCACGTTCAAAGGGAATGTGGCGCCATTACAGGCGCCCAAAAGGCTTTTGATTGGTACCTTGAATCAGAGTACAGATACCTTTAGGTTTTAAAATTGTTGTGATAATACAAGAACGCAATTTAATAATATAACGGTGTATTATTTTTAGGTTCATTTTAATGGCGAAAGGATCACATCAGAGGTGGAGTCCTAGCAGTGTGAATGTATGAAAGGTCAAGGTACCGTTATTGGTCTTGGTGCTGCCCAGTATCATGGCGGGGATCCCGGCAGCAGACGACAGCAGCCAGATGATCACGTTGATGATCTTGGCCTTGACGGGCGTGCGGAAGTCCAGGGCCTTGATGGGGTGGCACACGGCCACGTAGCGGTCCACGCTCATCATGGTCAGGGTGAAGATGCTGGTGAACATGTTGTAATAATCGATGGAGATGAAGACTTTGCACGCCACCTCGCCAAACGGCCATGAGCTCAGCAGGTAGTCGGTACTCTGGAAAGGCATGGTGGTGGTGACCAGAGCGTCGGCCACAGCCAGGTTGAAGATGTAGATGTTGGTGGCTGTTTTCATTTTGGTGTATCTGTTGTGAGAAGGAGACATGAAGAGGTTGAAAGGATAAGATAGTCGTTTGGCTCCTTTTTGTGTTGTTAAACCCTTTAAAGGTGAACAAGGTTAATGAAATCAATTTCTGAGATGGAGTTTAGTGCTAAGCCGTTATCCTATAAAACAGATTGCAGTCAAAATTCTATGACACAAAGGGAACTAATGGGAAGAAAAATATATCTGAGTTGTCATCATGTCTTACCTAATTAAGTCTTTGAACTGTAATCAGGTTGACAAACAACACTTACAATGAAAAGACCTTTGAGAGGAAATATTGATTTCAAAGCTTTTACACTGTTTAAGGTATTGTTGTCATTGGTGAAGAGAATAAAACGAGCCCAGTTTACCAACTAAAACCCAATTTGAATGCACAGAAAGACAATATGGCCATACATTCAAACAGATATAACTGTTTCCCTTGAGATCAGATTAGTTCCTATGATAAGAGGATGCAATTGATCCAAAACAAATAAAGAAATACATTATTGCTATATGAATTGAGCAGTGAAACGCACGCAAATTCACACTTAATGTGAATTTGCGTGCAACTCGCATTGCTTTTGTCATGACTTGAATAACGGACATATTTCAGAGAGGAAAACTCACCTGATGATGACATACATCACCAAACAATTGCCCGCCAAGCCCACCACAAACACCACGGAGTACAACGCGACTATGATGGGGATGATGGGCGACATGGGCTCGGGTTCAGCGTCCCAGGTGCCGTTGGAGGTGTAGTTGAAGACGTCTGAGGAGCCGGGTAGATCGGTGAAGTTTGGAAAACAGTCCTCCGAGGGACACCTGTCCTCTTTGAAGATGTGCACCACGCTGCTCTCCATGGTGCCGATCGCTGCCTGCACCCGGATGTTCAACTTAAACAGAAATCTCTCCAAAACAAGCTGAATTTCAGATGATCGCTACCAAAACAAAACAAAACGAAGCAAATGTCTCTATTAGAACAGAATATGTCTCCAACGAAACCGCGCGCAACAGCCTGCGCTCAAGGACACCAGTGCACAAGTGAAACACCACCTTACCTTATTATCTGCTCCAAATAAAGTTCATGCAAATGCAACATAAGGAGTTTCTTATAAGAAGCTTAGACACTGATTGAAATCCGGAAACTGTGAATATGGCAGAAACAAAGGGTTTCTGGGTTAAAATGCGAGCAGAAAATCCACTGCCTGTGCCACCGCATGCGTCCCCGGAGGTGCGCACTGCGAGCCCGCACTGCTCATTCAGTGACATCAGAGGCTGAGCCAGCTGATAGACAGCATCCAGCAGAAAACCATACATTACACACAGCTGGACGTATATTTACCGTACACGATCAGTTATTATTTACTGGTAAAATGGTCAAATGCATATAATGCGTAATTTGTGTTATTATCACACGTTTTACATTCTTGTGTCTCTTAAACTGTTATATTTTGTTGCCAAAAAGGTGTTTTTTAGTTTGCGATTTGTGCCATTTTGTTAAAGCACTTTTTATTAGTATTATATACTCCCAAGCTGTCACCTTTACATCATTCAGCATGTTGACCTTATGTTATAGGTATATATTTTTGTAAGTATTCTGATGAGTTCACAAGTTGCCTGTTGAAAAAGTTAAACTACAAAATGGCTTGCACTTCTTTCTGAATATGTTTAAATTCCCATCAATGCTGCCATTAGATGTTCCCTAGCAACTCTTGTGAGAACAACGCCTACGATGCAAACATGAAGAGTCCAATCAGATGTTGAAGAGGCATCAAGTCAGAGAGACATCTTCAGATGAATGCATCTCCGAGCTCTGTGTATCATTTATGTTATTACATCTTTTCCACTGCCTTAAAGCATGAACCTAGGAATTTTCCTGACAGAGACACAAACAAACGCAGCACGGAGAGCTCAAAATCAAAATAAATGCTGTTAATAAAGATTACATGTTGACACAAATCATGGGTTATTCCTGTCAACAAGTCTCTCCTTTTATCTCCCTCAGCACAACAGAGACAGATTTCCACCAGCACGTAATTAGGTGGATGCTGTTTCCTTTCCTTCGTTTCATGCATTAGCACTTGTTGCTTAGAGACCCATCAGGGCCAGGTGTCATGAGGGACATAGCCTTTTCTAGGTGAGTTTAAATTGTTACTGACTGTAGAGGCCTGACTGTGAGATTCTTACAATATTAGGGACAGTCTTCAGCCTTGGACTGTTAATAAAGTATGAGTCACATCTTCCCTCTTTATAGAGCTCTGATCCCGGAAAAAACAGATGATGGTACCCAGTTATCTCTCAACAGGCAAACTCCTGCTGCTTGTGGTTCCAAAATGGTGAAACGAGCCCCCCCATTGATATCAGGACTGCAGAAAGTGCAAATATTTTACGTCAGAGACAGAAAACCCACTTGTTTTAACTGCACCTTAGCAATTAAAATATTAAAACAAAAATAATTTAATTCATTTTGTTCAAAAACAGTGTGAAAAAAGGTGCAGCAGCACAGTCAGAACATTACAGCATAAACACATCACAGTGGAGGCTCACAATACAAATATGAACCTGGAAATAGCATCATAAGGCCCCTTTAAAAATACAAGTACAATCATAAAAAATAATAGAGAAATATGAAATTGAACACCTTGATAAGCTACAGGTGTTTGAGAATAAGGGACCAGACACTCAACAGATATATTCCAAATATATCCTACTTACACATTTAGAATTGAATAGAGTTCATATACTATACAGAAATGGTTACAACCTACAGAACACCTAACCCTAACCCGAATAACCTTAGATATAAACTAATCAAATCCTAAATGCTGAATGATCCCAACACTGCTGAATGATCCCAAAACGTTGATCATTGTTGTTGTTTTTGTTGTTGTTGTTCATCAGTCTATTTGATTACAAACCCTCTCCCATTTTTAAAATCAGAAATAGATAAAGACATTTTTATAGTGTTAACATCCCATTCCAAACCACACTAAAGCAAACTTCTTATTTCTGGATATTGCACTTAGACGTGTTTAGTTTAATGAAAGCTAATGAACTTCTAGGATAATTGCTGTTCTGAGTTTGTATCTCCATGGTTGATTGCACCTATTGTGAGTCACTTTGGATAAAAGCGTCAGACAAATGAAAGGTCATTAATCCTTAACCCTAATAATGCAGAGATGAAGGTCCGTTTGTGTCAAGATACGATCCGCTCCTCTTCCTCTGGCACTTGAACGTTTGTTTCATTTGAGATCCAGAGGAGGAGAGAAAATCATTGTTATATAACATCCGGTAGACAAGGTCAAGTATGAAATCCTTTTTGCATTTTAATGGCCTTCTCATAATGCCCTGAGGTGATGTCTGTTCAGTGAAATGCTTCAATTAACAGTTTTATGATGAATGCAGGTATTCAACTCAAACACAGAACAGCTTTACCTTTGGAAGAATTATTAGTAACCATGAGGAAAGAAGCTAGAATACTGTTGAAGTTTTCCCAAATGATTTTCTAAAAAGCCTTGGTTGGTACTGCTAAATTATGAACCATCCAGATCTCTCAGGTCTTCAGGGACTGGTCAGCTTTCTGTCCCCAGAGTCAGAACTAAACATGGTAAAGCAGCGTTCAGTTATTATGCTCCAAATATCTGGAACAAACTCCCAGAAACCTGCAGGTCCGCTGCAACTCTGACTACTTTTAAATCCAGGCTGAAGACTTTTCTTTTTGTCGCTGCTTTTAATTGAACTATTCATATCTTAGACTGCACTGTAACTTTGATCCATGTATTTTTTCTTTTAATGTTTATTTTAATATCTTTGCTTTTTAATGACTGTTTTTAAATGACATTTTCTTAATGTCTTTCGTTTTTTGTAAAGCACTTTCAATTGCCTTGTGTTGAAAGGTGCTATATAAATAAACTTGCCTTGCCTTGGTTTTCAAGTGTGCGTCTATCACTCTGGTGATTTTCATTTACGATTTGAAAATGGTCCCAGTACTCCCATGCATTGTGAGTTTACTCTGAAATCCATTGCCTCATTGCAACAACAACAGAAGGAGCCATCTGAATTTCAGAGATAAAGAAAGCTCTCCTCCACAGTAGCGACATTTCACAGACAGAAACCCCTCTACATCCGAAATGCAATATTCTTTTGATCCTGCAATACTATTGATTACACTTCAAAATATCTGCCTTCCCTCCCACGCTCAGACGGACCTGTTGCACAAGGAAGAAAAAGTGGGCAAAAAACACCACCTCATTTATGACTATAGATATAGATCACACATGTCCATGTTAGTCCGGGAGAAAATCAACATCATAAAGCAGCCTGACAATTACTGTAAAACAAGAAATAAAACAAGCGTGGTAGAGGACCCTGGACACATTTGTGTAGGTGATAAACTGGGTGCTGACCCTCCCAACAGTAATACAATAACTTGTAATGATAAAAATAACATGATGTCCTTTCGTCTCTCCTCTTCTTGTCCCGTTCCCCTCCCTTTTCTTTCTCCTTGTCTTGTAATTTTTTTATTTCTTCATTACAGGTAAGTACAACTTACCATCCATCCATCCATCCATCTTCTCCCGCTTATCCGTGGTCGGGTAGCGGGGGTAGCAGTTCCAGCAGAGAGCCCCAAACTTTCTTTTCCCTGGCGACATCAACCAGCTCTGACTGGGGGATCCCAAGGCGCTCCCAGGCCAGCGAAGAGATATATTCCCTCCACCTGGTCCTAGGTCTACCCCTTGGTCTCTTCCCAGCTGGACGTGCCTGGAACACCTCCCTAGGGAGGCGCCCAGGTGGCATCCTAACTAGGTGCCCGAACCACCTCAACTGGCTCCTTTCGACGCGAAGGAGGAGCGGCTCAACTCCGAGTCCCTCCCTGATGACCGAACTTCTCACCTTATCCCTAAGGGAGACACCAGCCACCCTGCGGAGAAAACCCATCTCGGCCGCTTGTATCCGCAGTACAACTTACATGTGTTGTAAATACTTTGATGTTACCACTAATATATATAAGGCTTGTCACAGCCTTTTTGCTTTATAGTTAATCTAAATACTTCTCTGACTATCAAAGCCTATTTTTGATACGATGCGATGCGATGCGATACGAAGCGATACGATGCGATGCGATACGATACGATGCGATGTGATGTGATGCGATGCGATGCGATGCGATACGATGCGATACGATGTGATACGATACGATACGATGCAATACGATGTGATACGATGTGATGCAATACGATACGATACGATGTGATACGATGTGATGCAATACGATGCGATACGATGCGATACGATGTGATGCAATACGATACGATACGATGCGATACGATGTGATGCAATACGATACGATACGATGTGATACGATGTGATGCAATACGATGTGATACGATACGATGCGATACGATGTGATACGATGTGATACGATGTGATGCAATACGATGTGATACGATGTGATACGATACGATGAGATACGATGTGATACGATGTGATACGATACGATGTGATGCAATACGATGAGATGCGATACGATACGATGCGATACGATACGATACGATGCGATACGATGTGATGCAATACGATACGATACGATGCGATGCGATACGATGCGATACGATACGATGCGATACGATGTGATACGATACGATGCGATGCGATACGATGCGATACGATGTGATACGATGTGATGCGATACGATACGATGTGATGCGATGTGATGCGATGTGATACGATACGATGCGATACGATGAGATACGATGTGATGCGATGTGATGCGATGCGATGTGATGCAATACGATGCGATACGATGAGATGCGATGTGATGTGATGTGATGCAATACGATACGATGTGATACGATGTGATGCAATACGATACGATGTGATACGATGTGATACGATACGATGTGATACGATACGATGTGATACGATACGATACG